TGCTCTTCCTCTTAAGTTCCTTCGCTCCGGCCTGCTTGCAGAAAATGGAAAATAGAAAGCCGTTTACACCCCTCATTAACTAATTTATTACCGTCGCATCAACATCCTCTTTTCTGTTCCCCATCCTGCCCGGAGGATTAGCCACCAGGGCCACAGTTTTAAGTATTGATTACGAGATCCTTTGGGAAATACTAATTAAAAGTCAGTGATTGGCTTTAAGCACTCCAGGAGGTTCGCGTCGGCCACCTCCCCACCCTCGGTGAGCCAAAAAGGTGCCAAATTCCGGCCCCGAGGAGCAGGTGTAGGGAGGAGCAGGAGGGGGGAGGGGGGAGCATGGGCTGCGGAGTCATTTCCTGGGCACCGTGCCTGGTTGCCAGAGACTCCCTCAGTTGCCACCCACTTTTAAAACCTGGTCGTTGAGGAACAAGCCCAGAGAACCGGCTGGGCCAGCAGCGAGTCACCAGCAAGCGAGGCTGGGCGGGCGGGCGGAAATTGTACCCGGTCCTGCTGGACGACTTTCACCACTTGGCCCCGATCCTGCCCAGCGCTGGCACCCGTCAGACTTCAGCAAGTTTAACTGACTGCCTCGACAGCCTTTGTGTCAGGGAAGCTTTAGCAGTGGGTTGCTGCCAGGGCAGAGGGTCAGACTAGATGGCCTCAGGGTTTCTCCCTTCCAGCTCTTCGTTTTGGAGATTCTAGGCCATGAAGTGAGGCAGGCCGAGGAAGTAGAGCCTCACAGATTTCATCATTGCTGTGCTTCTGAGCCGTCAAGTGACCGACGACTAAGGGCGATCCCATGAATGAGCTGCAGTCACTCCAAAATGTATTTCCTACATTGTCCTGCTCAGCTCTTGCCGACTCAAGCATTGTGGCTTCCTGTAAGGAGTTTGCGCATCTCATCTTGGGGTCTTCCTCTTCTCCTGCTGCCTTCTGCCTTTCCCAGCAGGATAGTGTTTTCCGGACATAATCCTGCCTTCTCATGATCTGCCCCAAAGTAGGACCACCTGGGTTTCATCATCTTGGCCTCCAGAGGCTTGATTTGGTCTAGGACCCACTGGTTCCGCTTTCTGGCCGCCCAGGGTCTCCACCAAAGCTCTCCTCCAGCCCCACCTTTCAAATACATCCATTTTTCCCTCCGTCCGCTTTCTTCACTGTCCAGCATTCACACACCCAGAAATACAACAGAGCGGATGGTTTTGGTCTCCAGTGACGCATCCTGACTTCCATAGTGGTGCAGAAAAAGGTTTTCTGCAGAACCGCTCCATCCTGCAAGCGGCGTTCGCTGAAAATAATCTTCTTGTTCAACTCTCGGAAGGCCTAGGAGCCCGGTCGTTTTTCTGCATGTGGGTCGTTCTGCGATACAGCCGGACGGGGTTCCGTCCTAGCCCTCAGTGGCTCCTGCGCAGCCAGAGGGGTCCCTCTCCATGATCCCTTTTGCATCTCATAGGGTAGGAGCGGAGGGGCGACAGATCTCCACTTCCCCGGTGGTACAGCTAGACCTGCCGCTGAAAAATGGACGCAGAGGCTCCCAGTGCGTGAGAGTCGCCAGATGTTCCCTACCAAGCGGTTCCTCCTACGACACATGACACTGCCATCAATTTCCTCTTCTACACAGCCCTTAAAGGCAGAGGAGCCCTGTTCCCATTTTCTCATGGCTACGTTTGGTGAACCGACAGCCCAGTGGCGCCCTAAGCGGCGTTTTGTGGTTGGGTTTCTTTTTCCAGACATGAGCCTTGAAAAGCGACTCTTTAAGCCGTTTCTCTGCGACCGAGCTTGAGACGCTACATGAGTTTGAATGCGTTTCTGGAAATCATACGTTGAGAGGCGACACCATCGGAATCCCTCCGCTAGGAACGAACAGTCTGGGGAACGGCCCGACACAAGATTCCGTAGCTCACCTGTCTAAAGGCTGCCTTCCTCACCAGAACAGATTCTAATTTGCACTTAGGAAAAAAAGATAGAAGCGACACGAAAACGTGATGGGACAACCCACTAAGGATAACAACATCCAGAGGATCCATAAAATTCCTTAAAGGAGGCCGGGTGTTTCCTCCGAAAATTGGTCCGGACGCTTCATGGCTGTGTGTCTGGCTGAGACAGCAAAACCGTGACTGTTTGTGGAAACGTTCTTCTCAAATTTAACACTAGGATCTGTCTTGCTTCCAGAGTTTTAACACAGTACTGGACAAAGTTTTTGGGATTACACCTCCCATCGTCCACAGCTGGCAAGGCCAGCTAGACTCCTCCTATTTTATTTGCACCATACGGTCCATCACTGGCTGCTCGCAGGAACATCATGCCTCCCCAGCTTGGGCGAGAAAAGCATTTGGGGGGGAGGTTCCCCACCCCCGCCATCACATCCCGTCCATCTTTGGGCAGGAATCGGGGCCAGCTGACCGCGACACACACATCTTGTGTTCTAATTTTGCTCCGACGCTTCTCCAGGCTGTCAGGCAGCCATGTGAGAGGAAGGACAGGGCTCCTGTACCTTTGCTAGCAGGCTACCTGCTAAAATGTCCGTGGTTGAAGGTACACGAGCCCCATCTTCGGTGTCCCGGGGCTGCCCTCTCAGGGTGCGGCTGCTGTCCTGAGGTGTGCCCCTTCCGAATCAGGCTCGAATGGAGGACAGGATTTGAATGGAAAATTGGGGTCTCTGAGGTGCCAGTCACAATCAAATGCTGGATTCTGGGAGCAGTGGTTCAGAAAAATAAGTAACTTTCCCGAATTTTGCAGAAAATGGGGAGTGAGGTCATAGTGGGAGGAGATCCTTTCCTGTTCATGACAGGGCCACCAAACGCCATCCCTGATGGAGTAGCTTAGACCCTCCCCCCCGGTCTTTCTCATGCAGGCACCACTAGGCAATGCATCCCCTCCCCTCTCCAGAACCCCCAGAGACTGCTCTTTATCTCTCTTCTCCCCCTCTCCACTCCACTGTGTCGGTGGACCGGTTCAGCCCTACCGACGGTTCCCAAAAGGGTGGCTGTCGGTGACTCAGAGAGCTGAGTTCGGGGCCTTCGTATAAGCCAGGCGTGAAAAAACTCCGACTCAGCAGCTCTCGCGGAGGCTGGCGCTGGCGCCGAAACCGGCCGAGTGACTTTCCAGCTGCTGAAGCGAGGCAGGGAGAAGCAGGAAGGAAAAAGTGTCATGCAGATGATCCGCTGGCCTGCCCCGCCCCCTAGGGCTGCTTTTGAAGGGGTCTTTCCCCCACACTTGGGAGTAGGCAGAAATTCCACCGGTCAAGCTTTTCTGGTCCTTGGCAATGGAGGGGCAAGTCCCCAGCAGCAAGCCTGCCTGCTTGTTTTGCCCAGTGTGGAAAGGCTGGAGGGTGGGGTGGGAGGGGGCTCCTGTACTCTGCACATGGTCAGGAACACTCCAGTTGACCAATTGTACTCTCCTTAAAAAGGACCTAAGGTGGCTCTTACACCCTAAGACAAGATTTAAAAGCTGACTACGAAGGATACCAATGTTTAGAGAGAATTAAACAAATACTATGTTGAAACTGGTAAATAAAATCAATACTAGGCACACATTTACGCAGCCATAAAACCTTGGCAGTCCTCAGGGCTGAGGAAACAGGCCACCCAGCGACTACAGGGCCCAGAATCCCCAGCCACCTGGGAGACAGAGTCCAGGGGGGAAAAATTGATGTTTTGAAGCCACACCTTTTATGTGGGTTCGAGCCTCTGTGAGCCCGGCTTTGAGGCTGCTTTTTGTGTCATAAGCGACCAAAGTTTGTGAGTTGTGAAAGATGGCTCAGAGGGTGGCATCATCCAACCAGGAAGTCATTTCTGTGCAGCTTCCTTCATCAACATCACACCGATGTTTTACAAAATGTTCCCGTTTCCTACACCGAAGCAACCTGAGAAAACAAAGCCTCAGTCTTGACTTAAAACCCAGCAGCGTTCGGTCTCATTTCAAAGCCAAAAAAATAAAAATAAATAAGTTTCTCTGGGTGCAAGAGAGCAGGAATACAGAACACCGGCAACCCCCCCCCATCCCTCTTCTCTTGCCCCACCCAGTGGCCTGTCGCCAACTTTTTCTCCTGACACTGCTCCTGTACTTTGAACAGCATCTTGCCTTGTGCAAAAATCAGCAGGAAAGGAAAGAAAACCAGATACGGAGCGGGTTCTTTCCCTCTCAGGACCGATCCTTGTCATCACCTCCTCAATGTCCACCCGAACGTCCATCTGAAATAGCTCGGCTCCTGATCTTTTCTGCTTCCAGCAGAAGGCAAAGGAGAAGGGGGTCCAGAAATGCAGTTACATCCTGCTGTCCTCAGAGGCAAATCTGGAAAGCTATGGGTCTCCAAATATACCCCACACCGGACCACCATCCCATAATCATGGCATAGCAAGCCCCATCCCCTACTGTCCCTTTCAACTCATCTCCCGGATCCAAACCTCTTTCTCTTTCAGCAAAACATGACTATGTAACCGAGATGACCAAAAATACGCTAATTCGCCTTTCGGACCTCACAAGATTCTGAGGTTTGTTTAAGGGCAAGGTAAACTTCCTTCCTCCCCAACGGGTCTACAAGAGAGGAGCAAAAGCCTAAGATTCCTCAGATACAGTCACTGCGTTTGGCACCTTCAATTTAAAAAAACCTTTTTTTTTACTACCACACCCAAAATCCCCTGGCCAGCATGAGGATGCTGGGCGTTGTGATGCCAAAAGTCACATTTCCACGTTCCGGACACCAATTCTGACCGCAAAAGAAAGACGAGGGGAGAATCAGTGGGTGGGCTGGAAAGGAAATTAAATCAGGCTTTTCGCCCAATTTTATTCTCTCGTCCCCAAAGCATCTCACCAAAACAGACGCGATTAGGCAAAGCTATCATTACCCCATTACTCAATAATCCGGTCTCTGGGGAGGGGGAAAAAAAGGAAAGCCAAAACAAGATCGCCCCACAGAAGCCAGAAACAAGCCCGGTTGCCCGTTTGTCTCAAAAGTCAAGGAGAGGCAGAGAGAATTTGGACCCAAAAGGGACCCCAGAACTTACCGGAGACGGTCAGCAGAAGCAGGAGTAAAGTTCGGTTCATGGTGCAAAGGGAAGCCAGCCGGTGCAGCTGCTGTCAAAGGGCTTCCCCCGAAGAGACGTGAGAACCGAAGCCTCCGGCTGGGTCGCAGGAACCAACACCGGTGGGGAGCCAGATCCTCTGCACTTTTTTTCGGTGACAGCGAGACCAGGGCGCTCCACGAGCGAGATCAGCTGTAATTCTGGCTTTTAAATAAGAGCCACAGGGAAGTCATGCCAGCTCCAGAGGATAGAAAAGAGCCTTCATCTTTGGAGGGATTTGGGGGACGATGGGTCTCCAGCTCCTGGACGGGTAGCCTTTTTTTTGTCCCAGAGGGGTTTTCTTGGGGGGGGGGGCTTTTCCCTGTTTTTCCAGCTCGGTATGGTGGCTGGCTGGCTCCCCAGTGCCAAGCAGTCGGTCTGTTTTGAAACTCCGCAACCTGTTCTCCGCAGAATGGCTAGAGGGAGGGGAATGAGCAGCGCATGAGAGAAAAATCTAACCTGTTTGGCAAGTTTAAACAGGTGCTTCTCAAGGTGGGGGGGGGAGAGAAGGATTTTTATGTATAAAAGGAAAGGGAGTTCACAGCGGATGGCAGAAAGCTCAGGCGGAGTGTCAAGCCATCACTTTCTGGGGTTGGAACTCCGAGGCCCATCTGACAGCTGGAGTTGGAAAGCCCCCTTCGAGCCACTGTGGCCAGGGCTTTCATGGGATGCCAAGAGACTGGAGACACCAAGACTGGACGTGCGCTACTTAACCCACACTCAGAAATCGGAAATATTTGGGGTGTGTGTGTGTGTTGGACTGCAATTCCCAATTTGAGGGATTCTGAGAGCTGTAGTTTAAAAATGCTGCAGTTTTTTGCATTTCTGGTTAAATTCCTCCAGCTGGGCAGCAGAAGTGCAAGGATTCACAGGGCAGAAGAGCTTTGATTTCTCCCCAGAGTAGACCAACTGGCACTTACAGTCTCAGCAATTCACTCTGAGTCAGAGTAGACCAACAGTCTCAGCAATTCACTCTGAGACAGGAGAAAGAATTTAAAAACCATTTTATTTACTTACAGTTGTGGACAGATCAACAGCGAACTAACCAATGTAGCTGCCTTCAATAACAGGTCGCAACAGATTCTAGAGAGGGAAAAAGCGCAGAGGGGAGAGAGGCATGGCTCTCTTTGAATTTGGAGGCAAGAGGGAATAATAGCTTGACCCACCCCCTAACTACACCTTCAAAATCTGCAACCCAAAATGGAAAGGTTTCTGATCATTGTGGTCCTTGAATCACGTCGGTTACACTTTCCAGACAGCACACTTTTTAAAATCAAAGATGTTTTGTTTTTTAAAAAAAAACCTGCTTGTTCCTTGTGGGCCTGACAGTGTCCTGAAAAGACTCTTCTAGAGCAATCAGAAACGTGACCTTTTCTCCCAGGACTACAATGCCCATCATCCCCCCTCACAGCTGGTTCTGCTACGTGGGTTGGAATCCGAGCCCAGAAATACTAATTTTTGTGTATGAGCAAGTAGCATATACCCCAACATATAAGGCTCCTGAGCTCGGGAGCCACCATGGCGTCCTCTCAAGATGGAAACCCTGATACTTAACGATGATGGTTGGATAGGCCTAAATAGAGATTTATCAATGGGGAACAGGTCTTTTGTGCAGCTGATGGCTCTTAATGGTCTGTTCCAGAGAATAATGCTAGGTGTGTCTCACCAAATCGATTCTGACTTCAGGAGAACCCGTTCCAGGGTTTTCTAGGTTAGAAAACACATCATTCCCGGTTCCCTTCTTCTAGATACCCAACTCACTGAGCTATCCAGCCAGCTGCAGTCCAGATAAGAGGGCCACCAGGGACGGAGATGCTCCTTTGTAATGTCACAGGATCGGGGCCTCGTGCAACAGGAGAGTGAGATTACACCCTGTGGATTTCCTGTACTCTTGCTGACGCACATATTAAGCGCACAACACACACGTAGAAAACAGCTTTGCAGGCCACAGCCTGGCCTGCGTTTGTGACTCTGCCTGGCGTTCAAAAGAGAAAACTTGTTTTGTTTTTTTAAAGAGCATTTAGGATAGTGCAGGAGGAAACCCTGCTTAAACTTGGTTACAGAAACCCTGAGAGCTTCTGAGCCCTCAGAGGCTGCCTCTAGCTGCAAATCTGCCTTGAGGAGGAGGAAGGAAGAGTGTATGAATATCAATCCGTCCATTGGTTTAGAAAAGAGAAGAAGGGGAGAAACCCATGTTCGGGCCCTCTGAATGTCTCTCTGGCCATGACCCACTTGCTCGCCTCCCCCTAGATTCTTGATAAAACAGCTCCCTTTCTCCAGAGACGTCTCCTGTGCAGTTTATGATATCTAGCCGGCCCATCCTGTATGTGCCTTGAACTGATATTTGGCTAACTGCTAAGAGTGAGTCACTGAGACTGTAAGTGCCAGTACATCTGTCTAACTGCTAAGAGTGAGTCATTGAGACTGGAAGTGCCAGTGAATGAGAAAAGGGGTGGGTGGGCTCATCTGGGGGACTTGAAGCTATTTTGCTCTGTGAATCCCTGCACTTCCATGGCATAGCGAAAGGCATTTAACCCCAAATTCAAAACTGTGCAACCCTAAATCTAACCTTTACAGAGAACGCTCCGTGAATCCCTGCACTTCCACGGCATAGCGGAAGGCATTTAACCCCGAATTCAAAACGCTGCAACCCTAAATCTAACCTTTACAGAGAAACCCTGTGATTCCCGCTCTGAGATCTGCAGTTGTTTTTTTTAAATTAAGTATTTACAGTCCCAGAAAACAACTTTTTCCCAAGCGCTCTTCCTAAGTGCGATTCGTATAATGCTCCGTTCCACCCAGTGGGACCGGGACCGGATCTCATGAAAGAGCAGCAGGGTGCCCTGAGTTCGAGAGCCGCGTACGGTTTGGGAAAAAAAAAAGCCATCTGAATGTCTTGATAAATCTCCTTTGCCGTTCAGAAGAACGGGGTGCGGAGAGAAAAGGCAGAGGGAGACCCGGCGCTGTTCTGGGTCCTCCCTCTGGCAGGGATCGGGGCCCTGGGGTGCACGGCTGGGCAGGTTTTGGAATGTCACCCAACCAGCGTGCGAGGGCGCCTCCTTCACCCCGGCTGGCGCTTCGCTCCATCAGATGTTCCTGAGCCGACGGGTGAAGCAAGAAGGCAGCATGTGGGAAAATGTTTTGGGAATGCATGCCCTTGTTTTCTGTTTCACAGCGGCGTCCCTCAGACTTCTCGGCAGGCCCCAAACCCCCCCCCTGGGCACATGGTTGGCACCCGAATTAGGAGGAGGGACCTCTTGCTACCCGTCCCCCCCCGGTGCAGGATTCGGCCCAAACGGGTTGGGGGGGGGAGGTTTCCAGGCTTCACTGAGAGTGTCTCACACACAGACACAACATCCTTCCCATAACTCAAGCGCTGGTGTAATTCTTGCTAAAAAAAAACCAATGTGCCGTGCCCAGTCCTGCAGGGTGGAATGAAAACATTATAAGGAATAATCAAGGTGCCGTCAAGTTGCCCCTGACTTTCAGCGACCCTGTGAACTTTATTATTCGCCTTAACAGCCTTTTCCAGAGATCATCTTGTCTTCTCGTGAGGTGCCCAAAGTAGGACAGCCTCGGCCTCGACGTTTTTTTTGCCTCCAGAGATTGATTATTCGGGCTTGATTTGATCTAGGACGCCACTCATTCACCTTTCTGGCCGTCCACGCTATGCGTAAAGCCAGTATGTATTCCTGCACGTGTCTTATGCACTATTTCTCTTGGGAAAACGTGGTTGATTGAAAATCCCCCATTTTTTCCCTTTTAAAAAAAACCACCCAACAACACAGTATGCTGAGACAATTAAGCAGTATATCAACATTTCTGAATAGTGCCAAAGGTGTGTTAAAAAACGTGCGAGCCAATTTCACGTAAAACAACCAGGGAATGTGATGCAAAATGCAAGAAGTCCCGCTAGCCGGAGGATGGCCTTCCGTGAGTCGCTCGGGAGTGAATCAGTGGCCCCGCCAAGGAAGAACAGTTGCCTTTCTTGCATCCTGGGGTCAGTGACTTCACGGGGAAGAGAAAGCCACACAGCGAGGAAAGCTGCGCAATGCCGCATGCCGTACGTGGCCTGTCATGAGATGAATCCCCCGGCCGCCACCCCCAGCCCGTCCCTCCGGGATGAACGGATGAATCGCCCAAGGGGTGACTAATCCTGCACGGCTCCTGAATCACAGCCGCAAAACAAGTCTCTCTTTTCCAAAGTCCTCCGGGAAGCTCCCCAGACCCCCCACCCCACCCTCCCATGGGCCTGACCCTATTCTGCTGAGTCACGATTGCCAAGCCTCACAGACTCACACTCACACACAAACACACACAGAGAGAGAGCATGCACATCTGTCATTTCCTTGGGCTGATGAGTTTGTGAGCATCACTAAATACACAGCTAAGCATGAAGGCGATCTTTCCCAGTCACACAGATCTCAGCGGCTTCTGGCCACCGTTTGAGAGCTGCTGCCCTCTAGTGGAGCTACATGACGAATAAAAAACGGGCAGTCTCGGTTTGTGTTTGTTATTATTTATTGGTCGTATTCATATTCTGTCTTTTATTCAAGGAGGGTGTCGCTCTCTTTCCCTCCCTCCTTGCTTTATTTCTAACGACAGTCCTGCAAGGCAGGCCGGTATAAGAGAGAATGACTAGCCGTAAGTCACTAAATGAATTGGGGGGGGGGGGGGATTCTGAGAAGTATACTTTTAAAGAAACAGAGATTAATTTTTCAAGATCTGAGTAGACCGCATCTTCTTTTGTAAGTGGCAAATGCAGAGAGGCAAAAGGGCTGGAGATAAAATTGAGGACAGAGGTTCAAAAATATCACTATATTTGCACCATACTTATGTTTTGTTTCTGTCTGTTTGTTTGTGCTCATTATCTTGATTTTTAACCCATCCTGCCTCCTGAAAGAGGGGAGAGAGACTGGTTTATAATTTCATATGGGAGACTGAGAGCCAAAATATACATTATAGACAGCACATCCTTAGAAAGGAAATTCCTTAAGTGCTGAAAATGCCTGATTTTCCCAGCAGGCACTTTTCCTGTAATTTGCATACTCGTTGCCCTGTTTTGTGATTGGTCCTCGGATGGTAAGCATGGGCTTCATTGGCTACTCTCCTGGCAGAGACTCAACGGTCTGCCTGAATCATGTATCTGGGGGAGGAATTGGACTCCTACCTTCTGAAGGTGGGCTCTCTGTAAAATATAATTTGGCCCTCGGCAGCCGGGGGAGCAGGGTTACTTTTGGGGCCATCCCAGTTGGAGAATTCTGGGCATTGTAGTCCAGGGGGAAAAAAGAAGAAAGAACTTTTCTGATCTTTGCTTTGACTGATGTGGTGGTGGTGATTCTCACAGTTGTGTCTGGTGAGTCCCGAAAAACACTGGGAAGGAGGGAAACGAGGGAAGAAGCGACAGGATGCCCGAGGGACTCCCGACATCCGCAGGAAGATGGATCGCACGCCTGGAGAGGACAGGACTTGGAGGCTGTGGTTGGAGATCAGGGAATCAACCGCTTGCCACGTTAGAGTCCTCAGGCGATGAATTTCTGGAGACGGCACAGATATGGAACACGCCTGGGGAGAGAAAGGGGGGAGCCTGTAAGTCGAGGGAGGAAAGAAGCCCCCACCCACCCCACCCAGCACGATCGGCTCTGTGGGGCTTTAGGCGGGAGAGAGACTTTCCTAGCCACCAGCGCTGAGCTTCTCTAGACCTCTTGCATCCAGTATTCAACAGGCAGGATCCTGCTGGGATCCCAGAATCAGACCTGATCCGAACTGGGGGCCAGAGAGACCCTGATGTCCCCAGACTCGTAGGCTGGAGAAACCTTGGCTATTCTGGTTGCAAAGAAGAAGAATCAGACTTTGGGGAGGGGGGGGGAACCAGGAGAGAGACGTACTAGATCACCCATCTAGAGGGATCTACCCCAGAGGATCGAAGGGCTTGGCTGGATGGTCCATTTGGGGTGGGCTGGTATGGGCTAAATAGGGTCACTCAAGGTCAGGGAGCGGTCCAGTATCCCATGGGGTGTCATCCTGGCACCTCAAGAGACCCCATTTGGCGCCCTCCCTTAACAAAAGACACATCTAAAATTCCTCTCCTTCCCTCCTCTTGTCTCCTTCCGCTTCCAGGACGCTTTCAAATTTTTAATTTCTTCCCAAAAAGGCACAGTGCATCCGCCCTGCCCTAAATGGCTTACAAACGAAACCATGTTGCGTCTTCCCATGGAGGAGCAGAGGAAGGAAATTTTTAATTTCCCAAGTTTCCCAATATCATTAAGCGGCTAAGCTGTCTGTTTAAGCCCCTGAAGGAGATGGGGAAATGGAAACCAGCTGGGAAATTAAAACAGGAAGCCCCGCTTTGGTTCGGTCCCAGTGATGGCAGGTGCTGGAAGCGAACCGAAACACGGTGATCCAACCTGCCCATGACAGGGACCCAAAAAGCTGCAAGTAATGTTGACCAAATGATCATGTGGTCACATATACCCCGAGCTCCAATTATGACGGGGAGGGGCAACGTGATGGAAGCAAGGAAGCAGGGCCCGGCGGTACCTGCGGAGATGGTCAGGATGACAGCAATCCAGCCGAGAATGTAGGACCAGGAGAAACGCCACTCGACGTATCGCTTCCCGTAGAAATGGACGGTGACCCCGGTGTACACCGAGACGCCCAGCAAGGCAAAGAGGGCTGGGGGGCAGAAAGAAAGGGGAGACAGAGGAAGTCAGGGGTCCCGTCGGCTCCTGTGGGACCTCTTCTACCCACAGACGTGTCCTGGGTGCTTTGCCACTCCGAGTGACCCCTTGGCCCTTCTCTGCAGGATCCTTACAACGACAGGAACGGGGACTTTTTATGGGGGAGAGATATCCCAAGGTTTTGCCCTCCGTCTTCCAGCTGCTCACTCTTAAGCTCGAGATGCGGGATTTTTCCCTTTGGGGAAATAAGATTGCAGCCTGCTACCGTTTGTCGCCTTCTCAGACATTGTGTCGTTTTGTTTTTTTTTTTTTCACCACTGGTTTATCTCGTTCTGCGTTGTTCCGTCTTGCTCGCTCCCTGACGATGGGCCTCGTTCTGCCTCTTTTTCAGATTTAACGCGTGAGATTTCCGCAGCCCGTCAAGGAACTAGACGAGGCTGCGCGGAAACGCACAAACGGGATTATCCAGATGTTCTACTCCAAAGTAAGAGAACGTTCCCACCCCCACCCCCCACTCCTTGCATTATCAAAAGAAAACGTCATGTTGTCTGGATTTGATCTGTGACTTGAGCGTTGTGAGGACAAACGTCCTGGTTGAATCGGTCTAGCCAGATTTTACTGCAGAGCAAGTGAAATGGTATAAAATTTGGTGGCGAAAGGAAGCTGACTCACCAGGGACTGGTTACACGCCTGGTCATGTGCAATTTGTGCAACCGTGCACCTGAGCGGCGCCGTGCTAATTAGCTGTAATTCTCCATTGTGAATTTACTCACTTGAAATTTACTCACTTGATTCAGAGTAAAATTGTTATAGGATTCAGGGCAATAAATACGAAGTGAGCCAGGCAGGGAAGAGAAAAAGAGTAGACTTTGGTCTAGATAGGCGGGGTATAAATTTAATAAACAAACAAACAAACAAAATGAGGAATGAGAGATCAAAGTGTGGAAAAGTTGTACAGTAGGAACCTCTTATCCACGAGATCAGTATCCACTGATTCATAAGGAAAGAGAGATCAAAGTGTGGAAAAGTTGTGCAGTAGGAACCTGTTATCCACGAGATCAGTATCCACTGATTCATTTATCTTTGGTCTGAAATTATTAAAAATATTAAAAGAAAAATTCCAGAAATATATATATTTCTAAAGATCAAGTTACCAGAACTGGCCACTAGAGGGAACCAGAGACCACATTGTGTGTCACATTAATGATTATCCACAGGTTTCAGCATCCACGCTGTGTCTCACGTTAATGATTATCCACAGGTTTCAGCATCCACTGGGGGGGCTTGGAACTGATTCCCCACGGATATGGGGCCTCTACTGCATTTTGGGGGCTATAACTCCCAGAATGTAGGGATTCGTAGTCCGAAAAAGTCTCTAAGTTCTGGGAAAGGCCATGTCCCTTGGCTGATGGGGGGTGCCGAACAGGCTCCTGTATCTGCAGCATCTTGTTTGAGGAGCATCCGATATTTAATGCACTGTGTTTCCAACCTGATGCAAAGGGAATTCGCATAAGAAAGGAAACGTAAGGAGGTCCAGTTAGCCTCTCAGGTGAGCGCCGAGCCTGCTGTGCAGGCCCACCTACCTGCGATCAAGAGTGTGATCCCGGCCGAGCGTGTCCGGGTGGAGCGAGCGCTGCTGGAGAAGGCGGTCAGGCCCAGGAGGATCCCGGCGAAGGAGGAGAGGATGGAGAGGAGCATGAAGGCCCGGGTCGCATCCCAGAAGGCTGCGTAGAAATCAAGAAAGAGAACTCGGTGATCTTGCCTGGCTAGTGGGCTGCCTGGAGGGGCATCAGCAGAACCGGGCTGGGATCGAGAGTTCTAGCCTCTTTCGTCCCAGAGGAAATGAGTCACGTCTCGAGACCACCCACCGGAACCAAGAAAGACGAGTCTGGAAAGCCTGTGCTCCAGTTACAACTATAAGTAGTGTAGTTACCTGTTGTTAGTTACATACGAGGTGGTGGTGAGGGCACAACGAAGTTACATTCCAAAGACAACTTAAGTGCTGTCCATATTAGTTTAACCAATTTTCTTGGGTATCTCTCCTGCATAGTTCTCCACCCATCTTACTTGTGAGTTAATTTTAGTCTAGTTACTTTCAGTTACTTTAGATTAATTATTTTAGGTTGTTACTTTTAGCCTAGTTGTTTTAAAGTTACTTTGTAAATGAATTTTCGGTGGTATTTAAAAAGGAATGTTCTCTTTTTCTTTGATGTTCTTCACCTGCCAGTCCTAAAGTCCCATCTTCCTCTCTCTTTTTTTATTATTTTATTTTTTTAACCATGCGCAATACGATTACAATAGTAAAAAAACCAAAACCAGGACTTCAAAAATAATATTAAATTCTAAGAAGTGAAAAAAAATAAAAAAAAATAAAGGTAAACTGCCACTAGGAGAAAAGTTACTTTTTAAAAAATGCAGTAACAAGTGTGAGTGTAGATGCCAGGACACCCCTGCTAGAGATACAGGAACAAATTCCTTTTTTTAAAAAAAGGAACTTTCCTGGTTCAGTCGACTCCGCCCCCTCCCTCCTGGCCCCTCCCCTCTGGGAAGCTCCACCCCCCTGGATAAGGATGCACAAGAGGCCGCAGGGAGGCCTGGCCACCCACCCTTCGCTGGGAGGGCTCCTTACCGAGGGTGATGGTATGGGGGCGGCATTTGCCCCCCACGCAGAACCTCCAGAGGCCCTGGTTGCTGAGGTGTCCCGAGAAGCGATACTGCATCCAGAAGTCCGTGGCCGTGGCGACGATGAGGAGGACCAAGCCGGAGACGGAGCACAGCAGCCCTCCGCCCATCAAGTTGACCATCCCGGGCCACGTCTCGACGGTCTGGGGTCCGAGAAGGGGGGGGTCCTCTTCTCACAGCAGGACCGGGAGGAGAAAGAGAGATTCCTTTGGGGGGGGGGAGAAGGAGAGGCAGAGAAAGAGAGAGGAGCAAGCAAGCAAGCAACAGTTGGCAACCCCCCCGATGACAAGCGGGTTATGTGACCTTCTCGCACCCAGAGCCGGTCTCGTCTGCCGTGTTTTTTCAACACGCTTGCTTCATGTTCTGATTGGCATTTAGGCTCCTTTTTAAGCTCTGTTTCACAGGGTTTTTTTTTTAAAAATTCACCTCCAGAACAGAGCTGGCAGACCTCACTTTGAGGGGGGATCACTATTCCCATCATCCCCTAGCCAGCCAGAAGCGGCTGGGGGGAGACGTGGTGATCCAAAAAAATAAAACAAAACCACCACCACCCCGGCTGTGCTCTTGAGTTCTAATTTGTCTGCAGCTGTAATGCAAGGATATGATAATGTGTAATTTGGCCCCGAGCCATGTGTCATTTGCCCCCATTTCTAGGTTTATCTTTTTGTTCTATTTCTTTCTTTGATTGCTCCCTTTATTTTGCTTGAGTCATTCGGAAGGAAGGGCAAGTATTGGTGCACACCGGAGGTGCAGAGAACTCCCCAGCAAAAAAATATTCCACCAAATATGTTTTTCTGATTCCTATTCGGGGCTTGACATGCTTGCTTCCAGCCCTAGGATATCAAACGAGATCTTCATAGTCATCAGGACTAGAAACTTCTCCTTTTCAACCAACGGCAAGATTCTCGGGAAGCTGTGTGGGAAATGACAGAATAAACACAGCCCTGGTGTGTCATAGAACGGGATCCACCAGTAGCCGCAATGAAAAAAGAAACCGGTGGATCTCCCTCCAGAAGAATTTAGAGTGGGGGGCCCCCCAGGTTTCTTGATCCTCCCAGGGTCCCAAAGTCCTTCGGCCTGCTGCAGGGTGGCCGTGGCCAGCACCAGTGCCGTCAGAACCACCTTCTCTCCCACAGCTTGGGAACGGATCCGTGTTTCTCCATTCAAGCCAACATCCCAGCCACAGAAGGGCAGCCTTCCTTACGAGTAGACGGTGCCGCACACTGGGACGGCTGGAGAGAGAAGCGCGCCTTGCCACCAGGAGGGATCTTTCGTGCCAAGGGCGGATCCAGATTCTCAAGTGAGCTTAAGATTCAGGAGAGGCCCATCGTCTCCTGCTTTCAAAACCATCACAGCGAAAACCCCATCACTCCACAAGGACCCGGCTGGGTTATATGGAGCAATCTTGCTCCGGCTGAGATTCTGGTTTAAACCTGGCCATCGGTTCATAGCAAGAGAACTCCAGAAGGATTCTCCTGCAACATGGTCTTCCTGACGGGGCGAGGCTGAGATACCAAAACTGTCTGTGTGTTTCAATTTTGCAAGCGCCAAACAGCCCCTTTCAGCCCTACCCACTAGGCTGCAAGGCCCTGGAGGGGTCAGCTGCTGGATTCTAATCCAGTGGAAAGATTTAGTCTTCCCCACACACGCAGTGACCCCCCCCCCAAACCAGGCAGGTGGTTTCATCCCATATATGACACAAGCAAACCATCTGGTGCTCCGTGTTTGCTCAGAGGCCGCTGTAGCTGCCTTTCCCAACGTGGCTGCGTTTGGCGCCCGAATGCACTGGTGAAAACGTGCAAATTTCACCCGAGAACCGTCCTGCCCCAAAGCCAGCTGTTCATGCAAGAGATGCAATAGAAAAATCTCTCACCTACCCTGTAAAGTGGGATTCAATCCGGACCTACGTTTGCAGATGGCGCTTCGGGAGGAGGGATCTGGCCTGTGGCTGAGAGATGCTGTGACCCTTTATCCAAATCATTTCAGCTTACCTTCGCTACTCGGTCATTCTCTCCAGGAAAGAAACCCAGTTCCACCCATCCAGGCGTTCTCGTTCTCGCTGCTAACTATTCACAATCCTCTGCTTTTTCTCTCGGCTTTTTATTTTTCTCTCCGGAGCAGACAAAGGAGCAAAAGTGCTAGAAAGAGGGAACTTTTATAAGGCTTGTTGTTCGGTCCGCCGCACGGCCGGGCGTACAATAAGGCGGAAAGCTCTCGCAGCCACGGGTCGCCCCCGGACGGCCCCTCCCCCCTCCCGTGGTTTTGCTGACGGAGGGGGAATCGGGTGGCCGAGCGGGATTCGGGAACCCTTTCTCTCTTGTGAGAGGAATAAGCAAATCCAGCAGACCCTATGACACCCCATCTCCCTGATCCCATAGGGACCGGGTTAGGACAACATTTCGCAAAAACCGACAGCTGAAGGCATATGGTTCCACCCCCTACCCTGAATTGAAAGAGGAAGCCTGAGGTTCCATCTGTATCTTTGAATATGGAAGAACGACCCACTTCCTGTGAAGTCCTCTGCTCGAGTCCCCGTTCCGATCAGCAAAAGGAGAACCCCGTTCAGCCACTCATGCAGAGACGCAACAGGGAGCCTCCTTAAGGGTTTTTTTTTCTGGGGGGGGTTTTCCTTCTGCAGAGCCTGGCATGAGCCCATTCTAGACAAGACCGACTGCCGTCATTAGAAATAGAATATGGGACTTGAACGGTCTTCTTCGGGGAATTCGGGGGGCGAAAAAATAACTTCTCCAAGCTGGGGCTTAATCTAACTTCTGTTGACTTCCATTTGGATTCAGAGAGAAACTCGCCAAAAGAGAGTCACAATTAACTGTATCAGACGCAATTAACTTTGATGGTGGCCAACGGAGCCTGCCTGTTCAAAGGCAGTCTACCTTTCCGGATCTGTTGATGTGTGCCTTCCTTCTCCGCCTGTGGGCTTCCTGTTTACAAACAGGTGAAGAAAGGGAAAGGAACTCTCCTTATTGTCTTATAGATGCAAACGTTAATGGAGAACTAAGGAAGGAAATTGACACAACTCCAGGAGAACGGGGAAGGCAGGAGGGCCTGGCGTGCTCGGGTCCGTGGGATCACGAAGAGTCGGACACGACGACTAAATAACAACAAGCGAGGAGACTCAAGCGCACTTAAATTTATTCAAAAGATGGAAATGGAAATCTCCGGGAAGTAAAGTGTCAAAGTATGGCCTGGACTTCTTTGCTCACTGTGTTCCAGCAGCTACTTAGTGGACAGTTGTTCTGGGCGCACGCACACACACACACACTCACACAAAACCCCCCATGACATTGTCAACTCTGTCCAACATATGACGCAAAGCGAGAGGGGTTCACTTGAGGCCGATGCCTCCCCCCCCCCAAGAAGAGTCTGGGTCCTGCCTCTGAAAGACCTCGAGAGGCGCATCTCAGTCCTCCAAGTTGCGGAAGGCGTTCTGCATTTCCTCATTCAACTGGGCGTAATGAGCTTTGATCTTGGCCTCTCCGTCCTTTACAGGATCCTAAGGAAAGGAAGGAAGATTTACGAGTGGAAAGGCTTAATTGGTGTGGTTTAGAAACAGACCAGCACATTCAATCAATCAATCAATCAATCAATCAGTCAGTCAGTCAGTCAGTCAGTCAGTCAGTCAGTCAGTCAGTCAGTCAGTCAGTCAGTCAGTCAGTCAGTCAGTCAGTCAGTCAGTCAAGCAAGCAAGCAGCGAGCGAAGGAAGGAAGGAAGGTTCCCCAGACAATCCACCCCTTTCTCATTAACTGGCTTTTGCAATCTCAGTAACTCACTCTGAGACATCTGTAGGAAAAAGAATAAAAAATGAACAGATAACAGCAAACAACAAACACTGCTTCCAACAAAACGAAGAGAGGGGAAAGAAGCACTCAGCTCACTCTGAGACATCTGTAGGAAAAAGAATAAAAATGTTTCATCCCTTACAGATCAACAGCAAACAACAAACACAGCTTCCAAGAAAACGAAGAGAGGGGAAAGAAGCACTCAGCAGAGAGGCGGGGCTCTCTTTGAATTCAGAGACAGGAAGGTCTGATTGGCTAGTGCTATATTGATTGACGGTCACCCCTCCCAATCACTCAAACCACAGGCACCAATGCAAGGTTGTAAAAACTCACAACGGGCTCCCCGGAGGTGCCCTTCTAACGTGTCCCAGTGCCTCACCTGGAACTTCATTGAGCTCAGCTTGTACATGACGTCCCCCAGGTTCTCACGGATGACGGCCCACGTGATCTTGTGCTCGGACTGGGCCGTGGCCTCCACCGCGTGGCGGGCTAGCTCGTAGAAAGCAATCATGTTCTGGAGCATCCCCACGGTTTTGTAGAAAGGGCAGAATCTGGAAAAAGGGGCCGGCAGGGCTCAGGAGGGGGCTGGGGGTCAGGTAGGGAAAAGCCCACGGGGCGTGCTCCACGGAGACCACGGACACCCAAGGGTGCTCAGCCTTCCTGATATCTCAGATTGGTGGCCGTGGGTTAGAGACTTGTCCTTTTCATGGATTTATTAAGATTCTTGTTTTGGATGGAGAAGATTTGAGAAGGAGCAGGAATAATCCAGATGTGGGAGAGAGAACGGGGAACTCTTAAGGGCAGGGTTTTTGGTGATGAGCTCTTAAAAATCAAAGTCTGGGTCTCTCTCTCTCTGCCAACCAGCTCAGCATTTATGAATTCTGGGGTATAGAAGGATGCCCTTCTCTATGGGATCAGTACCCACTAATTCACTTATCTACATGTTGAATATATTAGAAATATTAAAAGAAAAATCCTAGAAATATATATTTCTAAAGGTGAAGTTACCAGAACTGGCCACTAGAAGGAGCCAGAGACTATTCTATTTATAGGGTTCGTGTTTATCCACGTTTTCCAGCATCCACATGGGAGCTTAGAACCGCTACTCTGCAGATACAGGGAATCCTACTGTATAAGTATCTCAGATATGAACCCGCTAGTCTCAGGAAACAGGGCTAACCCAGCCAGAAAGGAGCAGAAGAAAGGCTTACCGGTCGTAGGAGGAATAGCCATTCTGCTGCAGGAAATCATCTTTGATCAGCTTGGCTACTTCGAGGGTGATCTTGTCTGTTTCAGCAAGAGAAGCCTGGACCGAAAAGGAAAAAAAAAATAAAGTTTCCACCGCTGGGGGAAAAAAGTTGGGCTGCAGAAAAAGAAGCATCAGGGGCAGGACACGGTCATTCGACCGATTCTCTTTCAAAAACAATGAATCTGAACTTAGAATCTCAGAACTGCAGAGCGGGAAGGGACACCCAGTAGCTCATAAAGTCCAGCCGTTGTCAAGGAGGTGCGGGTGGCGGGATTCGAACTCCCAGCCTTTCTGGCACTGTGGCCAGAAAACCCACCTCTGTGAAGATTCTCACAGTGCCATGAGTCAACTTCCAGACAACCTCTGTCAAGTAAAGAACACGTGGAGACCATTTTGCCCTGTTTACAGGGGCCCCCTGATTCCCGTGCAAACCCCAATTTTTAAAAAATATTTTTTGGCCACTAGGGGGTGCAAGGGGGCCTTTTTCAGTTTAAAAAAAAATTTTTTAAAAAAGAATTTTTTAAAAAAGGCTGAAGAGTGCACAGCACTCTTAAGGTCTGATCCCTTTAAGGGACAGGATGGCGTTCTCCGACCCAGACCAAAATGACACGCCACGCAAGGCCCTAGACTTCAACACAAGGTGCGATCCTGACATGAAGCAGTATTGAGGGGTGGGGGTTCCTTCCCCTGTCCCGCCTCCTCACCTTCCCGACCAGCTGGACGATCTCCGCCAGGTCTTCCTCCTCCTGCAGGATCTCCTTGCTCAACACAAGGCGGTTCTGCCGCAGCAGCCGTGATCCTGACATGAAGCGGGATTGAGGGGGTGGGGGTTCCTTCCCCTGTCCCACCTCCTCACCTTCCCGACCAGCTGGACGATCTCCGCCAGGTCTTCCTCCTCCTGCAGGATCTCCTTGGCTTTCGTGCGCAGGGAGACGAACTCCGGGTAGTGGCGGTCGTAGTGCTCGTCCAGCGCCCGCATGTACTTGCTGTAGCTGATCAGCCAGTTCACCGAAGGGAAGTGTTTCCGTTGAGCCAGCTTCTTGTCTAAACCCCAGAAGACCTGGGATTGGGACCGCCAGGGAGAGGAGAGAGGTGGGTTGGATTGGAAGCGAAAGCATCCACTCTTTTAAGCTACTCCATGTGGATCACACTGACCTGGACAATCCCCAAGGGCAGCCTTAGGGGGCTTCTGGAACTAAGTTTAGGGCTCTTACGCCTGCTGTGTCCCTGAACAGAATGGCCTTAGCCATGCAGGCACAGTTGTGTGTGTGTGTGTGTTTGTGAAAATATCAAGGATCTTCCAAAACTGATCTACTCCGTGTGGATCACACTGACCTGGACAATCCCCAGGGTTGCTGACGTCACTGGATCGGAGAAATCACCGCCAGGAGGAGACACCCTAGAAGTCAAAGAGAAAAATCAGTGAGGCCCAGGGTAGTGCGGAGGGATTCATCTGTTCATTTTTCCAGACGTTGCCTTAGACCGGGATCCGGAGAGAGAGAAGGAAAAGAGAAGAGGATACTCACGCTCCCACGATGCTGACGCTTCCTTCCCGCTCCGGGCTGCCCAAACACTTGACGCGCCCAGCTCGTTCGTAGAAGGAGGCCAAGCGGGCACCCAGATACGCGGGGTATCCGCTGTCTGGAATTTAAGAGAATTAAGAGAATTTCGACCATGACCAACAAAGCCATTGATTCACCCCTTTTCACATGATCTGAAAAGAAGGGTGGATGGGGAAAGGGGCCTGACCATAATTTTATTCCCTCTTGTCTTTTCTAGATGAACATGCTGATTGGTATTCTTAAGGCTTACTTCCTTTATTCTTCTTTCTCTTAGGTCACTTTTTATTTCTTTTCACTTCCTAGAAAGGCAGACCCACACACACAGAAACACACACACACACACACAAGGGGGGCTAGGAGGGTTACCTGCGGGCATTTCAGCTAAGCGCCCAGAGATCTCCCGAAGCGCCTCCGCCCAGCGCGAGGTGGAATCTGCCATCATGCTGACGTTGTAGCCCATGTCACGGAAGTACTCGGACAGCGTGATGCCTGAAAGGGAGCCCAGAAGAGAAATAGGGAGGATCAACTTAGCCAGAAGACCTCTCTCTGAAACCGGAAAAGCCCCCAGATCTATCCAGCTCCCGTAAAGTTCAGCAAAAAACCCAGAGCGGGTGTGTGACAAGCTGGCCGAATTGGCATCCCTCGCCTCTGCGGGAGACACACGGCGAATCCCTGCGGTGGTTTTCTGGATGCAGAGAGAAATCCCGCCTCACCTGTGTAAATGGAGGCTTCTCGCGCTGCCACGGGCATGTTAGACGTGTTGGCCACGAGGGACGTGCGCTTCATGATCGTCTCCGTCTTGCCACCCACTTCCATCGTGAGCTGCAAGAGAGGGGAGCGAGCAAGTCGCCTGGTGGGAGGCAGAACTGAGCACCCACTCTTGGTCCTGAGCAGAGTCTGGGAGGAATGGACTACAACACCCAGGCTCCCCCAGCCAGCATGGGGGCCAAGCTCCAAGATCACACTCTTCATGGTTAAGACCTGGGAGCCTCGCTGAATTTCTCCAAATGGTTCATTAAAAAAATGATATACAAAGGCAACGGTGTCTTTGAAGATACAGATTTTTTTTTTTTTAAAAAGGGAATTCAATTTCACAGTAATTCTCATAATCCGTGTAGCAGCTGCTGGTGGAATTTTTGCAACCTCGCAGGCTGCCTTTAGTAGGTGTGGCTGAGAAGGGACTTTTCTGGGCTAGGGTGACTGTCAATCTATCCAGCACTAGCCAATGGTTCCTTCCCTGGCTCTTGCATTCAAAGAGAGCCCCGCCTCTCCGCTCGGTGTCTCTTTCCCCCTCTCAAGAGTTTGCTGAGGCCTCTTGCAGCAAAGCACCCGTGTTTGTCAGTTTGCCGTTTGATTTGCTCAATTGTAAAGTAAACAAAATGTTTTTTCCCCTTTCTTCTTACAAAAGTCTCGGAGTGGGTTACTGAGAGGGCAAGTGCTGGTTAATTGGAGGGGGGGTTAGGGGTGGCCTAATTTGGGAAACTTGAAGCTTTTCTGCTCTGGGAATCTTCTGATGCACCGTGGAAGGAATTTAACTATAAATTCAAAACTTTGCAACCGGTTTGTGATCTCCTGGTATCTTTGCTCAGCAAAGCCAACTCTGCTTTCCTGCTCCCAAACATTAGGAAACGCCACATGTCCTCCATGTCCTGTCCTTCAACCCCCTCAGTGGACCCCACTCCACTGTATGGGAATACTGTATGGGGAAGGAAGGTGGGGGGAAATCTGACCATTTGGGGCATTGGAAGGAAAAGGGGCAATCAGTTCGGTGACAGCGATCCTGGTGCTGTCGCCAATGCTTGCCCTTCGTCCTCACCTCTGGAAAATCCCTCAGGACCTCGGACATCTCGTTGCCTCGCTCGCCGCAGCCCACGTAGATGATGACGTCACTGTTGGAGTACTTGGAGAGCGACTGGGAGATGACGGTCTTCCCGCAGCCGAAGGCGCCGGGAATGGCCGTGGTCCCGCCCTGAACGCACCTGCCGGAGGAGAAAGGGAGAGGCGTCCGGGAAACGCTTCTGGAGCCCAGTTTCCCCCCTCGTTTCCACCATCGCCTCCTCGCACACTTCGAGAAAGCGGCCCACAGGGCTCAGAAAATGTGCACTACCTTCCACAAGTAACTTGTTGAGTTGTTCATTACTTCCAGACAGCCAGGCTCCTGTCGTACTTAGGTTGCTCCAGACATGCTTGAGCACTGTGATGTCTTCGCAAGTGGCCAGAAGGACACAAAGAAATCCTCTCTGGGTCCCCCTAGTGACCAGTTCTGATACTGAACCTTGGCAAAATTTACAGGCCGGAATTCTGTCGCTGATTTACACCAGCCTTATTGAGGCAGCATAAACGGAGACACCAACTCACATGACGGGCACATGACAAGGAATACCAGAGTCGACTCCCTAACGAGCGTCAATCTGCAGCTGTTATGTCCTAACGGCCAATATGATTCTGTCCATCAAATGATGACAGACAGAACTCTTTGTCGCTGATGAGAAAATGGGTCAGTGCCTTCAAAAGGCTTCTTAAACCTTGCTAAATGTCCTGCAATCTTCTGACAGTAACTAGGTGTAACTCCTTATGCTTAAAGAGGAACGTTGTAATTACTAGTTATGTAACTTATTGCGCAGAAGTTACTAATTAGAGATAACTGTGTTCCTTGTAACAATTGGCTCCCAAAATACAATTCTAAAATACCCCCTAGCCACCCAGTCTAGTTCCCTGTCACTAAATGGGTTGGATAGAAATGTAATAAATAAATAAACAAACAAACAAACAAACAGTACATGCCATGAAGTAGTTTCGAAATGATGGCAACCGTTGAGATTAGCGACACCCAAATGATCCTGTCCTTCGCAGCCCTGTTCTGGTCTTGTAGACCCAAACTGTGGCTTCCTTTATAATCAGTCCATCTCATCCTTGGTCTTCCTCATTTCCTACTGCTCCCTCCCACTTATTATTACCTGTGCCTCACCACTTGCCGTATATGCCATGAAGTAGTTTCGAAATGATGGCAACCGTTGAGATTAGCGACACCCAAATGATCCTGTCCTTCGCAGCCCTGTTCTGGTCTTGTAGACCCAAACTGTGGCTTCCTTTATAATCAGTCCATCTCATCCTTGGTCTTCCTCATTTCCTACTGCTCCCTCCCACTTATTATTACCTGTGCCTCACCACTTGCCTTGTGCTCTACTCGTTATATACAATGGCGCTATATCTACTAAACATAAAGTGGGCCTGTACCCCAAATAAAAACTTTTATTAAAAGTTATCCGACTGCAGGTCAGCCTGCCCTTCTCTGCCACCTGGACTTACGGGAACAGAGCATCCAGCACCCTCTGGCCCGTGAGCAGGGGATGATTGGCTGGAAGTTTCTCGGACACAGGTCGGATCTGGCGAACTGGCCACACCTGCAACATCGTGAGCTTCTCCTTCACACCCTCAAAGTCCAGCTCCAAAACCACATCCTGCAGGGGGGGAAAAGAGAGCCACATGGAAAACGCCTGGCCACAACAGCTACGTGAATGAGGGAGGCTCTGGTCTTATCGCCGCTCCTCCCGCAGATACTGAAAACCGTGGATAATAGTGAACACTAGCCATAGCATCATAAAAGAAAAAAACCAGAAATATGTATTTTCATGGTGTATTTACAAGAATTGGCCACTAGAGGGAGCCAGAAACCATGCTATGTATTCTTCAACCAGAATACTGTACATTGGATGGTCTTTGGCTCCCTCTAGTGGCCAGTTGTAGTAAATACATCATGAAAAAAACATTTCTGGGTGTTTTTTCCTTTTAATATTTTGAATATTTTCAGACTGCGGAGAAGTGAAACTGCCGATATGGGGGTCCTATTGTAATTCCTTATCTAAACATTGCAGGCCTATATCAAAAGCATCCAGGAACCTTTGGGGCTGGTCAGAGCCAAGAAAACGACATCGTTAGCCCATACAGAGCAATGTCACACCTGAGGAAACAGGACATGCACTGGCGTGGTGTCATTTATTTTTTGCACTGCAGGTGCTCCCCGCCGCATCCTTCAAAGAGAACTCAAAACAGGCAGGCAGCTTTTTGGTCCCTATTTTTAAAAACACTGCTCTAGCTAGTTTTCATTTCTAGGGAAAAACAGGTCTTTTGTAAAGCTAATGGATCTTGATGCCCTTTTGAAGATTAAACTGTTTCAGAGCACCGTCAGAATAGCTGGCAATAGCTTAATTATTTGCAAGCAGCCCAGGAGAATCCCTTTCTTCAGACCCAAGGCTTACCGAGGCATCGTAATTGCCAGCCGCCGCGATGTGGGTGACCGTACCCCGGCACCTGGGCGGCACCATGATCATGTGCTTGATGAGGGAGTTTTCGCGCACCACGCCGTAAATGTCGCCTCCTGTTAAATGAATACTGTACATTGGATGGTCTTTGGCTCCCTCTAGTGGCCAGTTGTAGTAAATAGATCATGAAAAAAAACATTTCTGGGTGTTTTTTCCTTTTAATATTTTGAATATTTTCAGACTGCGGAGAAGTGAAACTGCCGATATGGGGGTCCTATTGTAATTCCTTATCTAAACATTGCAGGCCTATATCAAAAGCATCAAGGAACCTTTGGGGCTGGTCAGAGCCAAGAAAACGACATCGTTAGCCCATACAGAGCAATGTCACACCTGAGGAAACAGGACATGCACTGGCGTGGTGTCATTTTTTGCAGTTCAGGTGCTACCCGCCGCATTCCTAAAAGAGAACTCAAAACAGGCCGGCAGCTTTTTGGTCCCTATTTTTAAAAACACTGCTCTAGCGAGTTTTCGTTTCTAGGGAAAAACAGGTCTTTTGTAAAGCTAACAGATCTTGATGGCCTTTTGAAGACTAAACTGTTTCAGAGCACCAATAGCTTAATTAAGACCCAAGGCTTACCGAGGCGTCGTAGTTGCCGGCCGCCGCGATGTGGGTGACCGTACCCCGGCACCTGGGCGGCACCATGATCATGTGCTTGATGAGGGAGTTTTCGCGCACCACGCCGTAAATGTCGCCCCCCGTTAAGTGGCTCCCGACCTGCGGGACAAAAAGAGGGGGAAACCTTCAGACCCACCATTGTTGCTGAGCAGAGAAACAGACTCAAGATAAACACCGGCTGTCTTTGGGAGACGCCCGTAAAATCAATGCCATAACCCGGGATAATTAAACTTATTTTATTTTATTTCTGTGCCTCCTTTCAATTCTCAACTGCAAGACCCAAGGGGGCTCCCAAATTATTAAAGGAGAAACCAGCTAAAAAAACAATAGATGGTTACATTACCAAAACAAACAAACAAACAAACACACCTGAGGAAACAGGACATGCACTGGCGTGGTGTCATTTTTTGCAGTTCAGGTGCTACCCGCCGCATTCCTAAAAGAGAACTCAAAACAGGCCGGCAGCTTTTTGGTCCCTATTTTTAAAAACACTGCTCTAGCTAGTTTTCATTTCTAGGGAAAAACAGGTCTTTTGTAAAGCTAACAGATCTTGATGGCCTTTTGAAGACTAAACTGTTTCAGAGCACCAATAGCTTAATTAAGACCCAAGGCTTACCGAGGCGTCGTAGTTGCCGGCCGCCGCGATGTGGGTGACCGTACCCCGGCACCTGGGCGGCACCATGATCATGTGCTTGATGAGGGAGTTTTCGCGCACCACGCCGTAAATGTCGCCTCCTGTTAAATGGCTCCCGACCTGCGGGACAAAAAGAGGGGGAAACCTTCAGGCCCACCATTGTTGCTGAGCAGAGAAACAGACTCAAGATAAACACCGGCTGTCTTTGGGAGACGCCCGTAAAATCAATGCCATAACCCGGGATAATTAAACTTATTTTATTTTATTTCTGTGCCTCCTTTCAATTCTCAACTGCAAGACACAAGGGGGCTCCCAAATTATTAAAAGAGAAACCAGGTAAAAAACAATAGATGGTTACATTACAAAAAAAAGAGAGAGAGATTTGTTTAAAAATTGTGAGCTTGCACCAGAGTCCAATCTCTGGAGAATTGTGGCCTTCGTGTGCAGGTGGGTTAATGCTATTTAAATGCCTTTTTTCCCCTCATGCGCATGGCTTTAACCTTTGTGGGAAAATAGCTTTTGACATTAGCAGGGCTGTGGCCCAAAATTAGGAGGTTGTGGGCCGCCACCGGGAAAATAAAAAAACTAGCATCCTCTCCCCTTATCTTTTTTAATTGGTTGTTTATTTGGGAAACACAGGAGAGGAAAAATGCAGGAACATCTGTCATCCGAGCACCGAACTTTCCAGAATTCTGGGACAAAGAGTGCAAATTAATCATTCAGTTGTGTTTTAATTAGTGTAAAGTTTGATTTCTTGTTTTTAAATGCTTAATTTATTATGGTTTTGATATTATTCTTTTTAATATTGTGAGCCGCTTTGGGTTCCCCCTTTCGGAAGAAAGGCAGCCAATAAATAAATAAATAGCTATTTAAGATAACTGACAGAATGAGCCCGCAGATTGTGTTGCAAAATGGAGCAGGGAGGGACAACAACTTTGATTCACAATTCAGAAAAGTGTGGCATAAATACAACCTATTGTTTTCAAATGCCCCCATGTGCTTTTGCCTTGTAGAGAAATGCAGGACATGTTGTGTATAGCAGAAAATGAGCAAAAATCACGCACACTTAGAGCCCTTGAGTGTTAAAGTATCCAAGGCTCCACCTGAGGCATGAAGCACATGGGTGTCCCAACTCACAAGGGTTGTTGTGAAAACAGTGTAGTCTTTTACAACTTCCTGGAGAAGGTGTGGTTGAGAAAGGACTTTTCTGGGCTAAGGTGACTGTCAATCTATCCAGCACTAGCCAATCAGTCCTTCCCTGCCTCTGAATTCAAAGAGATCCCCGCCTCTCCACTCGGTGTCTCTTTCCCTCTCTCGAGTCTGCTGTTGAAAGCGCTCGCGTTTGCTCAGTTTGCTGTTTGATCTGTCCAATTGTAAGTACAGTGGTGCCTCGCTTAACGGCGTTAATCTGTTCCAGGCAAATCGCCGTTAAGCGAAAACATCGTAAAGTGGAAAAAAAAACATTGAAACGCCTTGAAGCCCCTTCAATGCGTTCCAATGGGGGCAAAACTCACCGTCCAGCAAAGATCCTCCATAGGGCAGCCGTTTTCGCTGCCTGTCTTGCGAGGAATCCATCCCAGTAAACAGCGGGGAGCCATTCTGTTTACCCGGTGGCCATTTTGAAACCGCCAATCAGCTGTTTTAAAATCATTTTGCGAAGAATCGGTTCCTGAAGCAGGGAACTGATCATCGCAAAGCGAAAAAACCCCATTTAGACCATCGTTTTGCGATCACAATTGTGATCGCAAAAAGTTTTTCGTAATGCGTTTTCATCGTAATGCGGGGCAATTGTAAAGCGAGGCACGACTGTAATGAAACCTTTTTATTCTTTCTCCTGCTATTGTCTCACGGTGAGTTACTGAGATGAGAAGTGACAGTTAATGAGAAAAGGGTTGGAGTACTCCTGGGTGAACTTTCATCTCAATCCCGGCAATTCTGCAGGGCAGCGAGAGGGATTTAACCAAAATTCAAGACTGCTACTCATAAAGTGGGCTGTGAACATAAACTTTCAGAAGAAAGGCAGGAGATATGTGCTACGAGACGGATTGTTAAAATTAATCTGCTCAACCGCCTGTTTTCCGACTCTTACCCGGATGTTGGCGCTGGGGCTGAACTCCCACTTAATGTCCCGGGACAAAGCAGTGATGTTGATTCCTCGAGGGATGTAGATGCTCTTGGTCAGCTCGGTGATGTCCTTCAGGGGCCGCTGGATCCCGTCAAAGATGGAGCCCATGATCCCCGGGCCGAGCTCCACCGAGAGGGGTTTCCCGGTCCTCAGCACTGGGTCACCCACACAGACGCCCGCTGTGGCCGCCGAGGCTCAGGAAAAAACACCCCAGGCTTGGGGGAAAAGCAGGGGCTGGGAAGCCAGGAGAGGGCAGGAGGAGGAGGAGGAGACGGGCTTCCGTCATGCCAGGAAATAAATATTTTTTGGAGGGACATCTGCCGGAGGAGGCCTTGAGACAGCATAAAAGAGCCGATGGATTTTTGTGTGCATGCATGTGGGGTGTGCTGAAACGATTTAATTCTCAGTGGGGAAAGAGGGGTTACAGGAGCCGTCCCTGGCGCCTGAGAAGACCTATGGCTTCCTTACCACCTCATTCATGAAAAGGCTCCTGACGCTTTCAGGTGTTCAGGCGGGATCAGGAAGGTGCGAAGGTGTGGGTGAGAAATAGGGAAGAGGGAAGGTTTTGAAAAGCCAGGGTGAAACTGGGCCTCCCTTGACATCGGGGACAGCAGAAGGCGTCCGGTGAGGACGGTGGAAACCAAAAAGGTTTGAGAAAGTAAGGTTATTTGGTATATTAAAAAAAAATCTATAAGATTCAAGGCATGGGTAGTACTGTGGGGAGAGGGAAATGAACAGCCAGCAGTGCTAAAGCAAACAAAACCCCTTTTCCGGAAGGATACAGGTTTCCTCGTACACCTGGATGGTCGCCAGGTCACCCTCGAGGCGAATGATCTCGCCCACCAGCTCGAAATGGCCCACGCGCACCAGCTCATACATGGCGGCCCCCGACATCTGGCAGGCGATCACCACTGTTGACAGGAATAAAAAAAATCCCAGACTTAAGGACTTCCTCCTTTCGCCCTGTGGCTCCCATGGCATCCACACAATGAAGGGGATTTGCTTGGGAACTGCGGGACAGAGGTAGGAAATGTTTCCGTTCCAAAATTCAACCTCTCCTGACATTGTTGCATGAGCAGGATTTGGGCCAGTAAACTTTGTAACCTATGAGAATTAAAAATAGCCCAGCAAAGCCCTTTGGCACCAGATCAGAGTGTGGTCTAAGGGCTCCAGAGTCTTGGGTTCGAATCTCCACTCAGCTATGTGATTCAGTCAGTCTTTTTTCTCTCTCAGCCTCAGAGAGTTTAAACAGGCTGTTCAGGGTTAGATGGATATGGTCTGTTTATAGACAAGCTTTGCTCTGGATTTAAAGGACAGTGCAGGTCAGAACAGGGTATGAACAAGTAAAGGAAGTCAACGCTAACTTTGTGGGTTTTTACTATTGGTACGAGAATGAGTTTTCCAAGAGAACCTACCAGGTCCGGAAACCCCATGGACGAAACCCATCTCGCTCTCCTTCTCTGCATCCCCAATCTTGGGAAGCTTTGCGAAATCCATGGCTCACGGAGGGGACACGAGGAGCCAGATCACAGTGGAATCAAAACCTGCATCCGAGAGGCAAGAATAATTTAAAAATAAAATAAGTCCACCAGCATGGTCTTCTGTGAAACCAAGAGGCAGGCAGCCCAGTCCGATAAACCTCCTTATCTGCATCTCTTGCGGCGGTGGATCAGAACGGGCAGGATCACACCGCTGGTTGCCAACTTTATTTTTCGGGGAGGCTTCTACGCTTAAAAAAAACAACAACAATGCACAACCACAAAAATATAGGCAGAAATCCCCACAAACAAAAGCTGTTTCTCCACGGAATCTAAATGCCTGGGAAAATAAGATTCACCAGTTGGATTTCTGTCCGTTAAAATAGTTGCCATATTTCTTTTTAGGCAGGGCTTCTGTGCCTGTAAAACCAAAAACACACCTGCACACAACAACAACCAGGATAGGCAGAAACTTTCACAAGTGAAGCCTGGAGATGAACACCAATTTAATACTCTACTTTTTGACTCCAACAGGCTTCTGGTGTTTCCTTCTTAACTATGCTTGCTGCCAACGGATCCCTTCTAAAGTGTTTTTAAGTATTTTACCTGTTGAATATTAATTTAAATTTCTGTTTGCACGTTGTTTTTAATTCTCACCTCTTTTTTTTAATGGTTCGTGAGCCCCCTTGCTTTGCAAGGCTGGGAGAAAATAAACCATATAATCATGGGGCATCAGGTACCCGTTCTGACTTATTCTGACCATTTTCAGAGAGAATATTCGGAAGTGGTTTGCCCTTCCTTTCTCCTGGGGACGGGGTGGGGAGGTGGATGAAACGCAGCATAGGAATGCAGGAAAATAAGTTAAAAGTTCTAATAAAAGCCCATGAAAAGATCCAGGGACCGGTTCTTCTCCGTTATACATCTGTTCAAAAGCGCAGGAGCCCTGCCCTTAAAAACCTCACGCTTCCCCCCGAGACACCCAGTCTTTGCCGTCCCCCCTTACTCTTACTCTCCCGAAATGCCGGGGGGGACCCCTTTCCCACGCCCCAGCCTTACCCCTCTTGGAAAGACGTTGCCAGGCTTTTCGGAAGAGCTGCGCCCAAGAATCCTGCACTCAGGCTGGGCAGGATCTTTCCCTTTCTGCAGCCAGGCTGGGCTCTGGGGTGTCCCTACTTTCACCAGGTGGGGCGTGGGTCTATTATTTATTATACAGTAAAGGTGGGAGGCCAAACAGGTACGGCACGGCTGCCTCCTGCCCTGGAACCAGTTCCGGCCAGTGCCGGCCACTGGGAGCTGGGGAGAAGCTGGAGGTCAGCGAGGAGGAGAGAGAAAACCAGCCAGGTTTTCGGCCGAAACAGCAAACAGCTGCTCTGTGTACTGTCAACAAGCTCAGCCTTCTTCCTCATCCTTCGGGCTAGCCCGCCGCCCCTTTTTGCCTTTAACCGTGTCCTTGATATGCAGTTCGACTGCTTTTTTTCTTTCTTTCCCAGAACCGTGTTCAGGAAAAGAAATGCCAGGAAGAACTATCCCTGTTGGATTTCTGCCTGCGGTGCCGTTCTTAAAGGGAGGGAGCAAAAGACTCCACGGGGGGGGGGCAGCAGTGGCTTTTCTAATGACCTCAAAGGAAGCATTCCCCCCCCCAACATGGCTTTTCTCCTCCAATGGATTAGTCAATTAGTCGCAAAGCAAAATCTCGGCTTCCCTCTTTGATGCCACTCTTAAAAGGAGAGGGAGAGGTGGCCAACCCTTTTTCCGGCAGGGCTCTTCTGCCTTTTGAGAACAGCAGGATGCCCTTTGCCTGGCTTGCAGGCGAGGGAACCTGCTTTTGCTGAGCTGGGGTCAAGCCGGGAGTGGGAGGCAGGAGGAGGAGAGGAGAAAGCTAAACGTGAGATGGATTTGTTGCATTAAGGAAACCACAACTTTGGAGTTCTGGAAGATTTGAGCGGCGGCCGCTAAGGACAGGATATTTTGGGGGTCATTAATCCAGAGGATCGCCATTTAAGTCGAAATGAGTCAACGGCCTGTAACCGCATGACCACGTTTGAAACACCAAGGATCCCCCTCCCCCAAAATACTAGCTGGAAAGCCTGCCTTCAGATGCTTGGCAAGCTGCCGGAATTTTTCTACAAGCACCTGCTTTTAGTTCCTTGTTTTAATTCCTCGTTTTAAAAAGCCTTTTTCCCCCCCCTGGGTGGGGTGTTGAGGACTGTTCTGATTTCCCCCCTCTTGGATCCCCCACCCTCACAACAAATGTTAATTGAGTGTTTTTTTTTAATTGCCACTAGAGTACAAAAGAGTTTTTCCAGTAAAATAAAAGAAAGAAAAGTCAAAAGCCATAGACAGGGGTATTTCCCCCCACCAAAAAAACAAACAAACCCTCTACCCCTGATAATATTACAATAGAAAACCAACCAACCCCCCCCCCATCTTATGTGAAGCAGGGGATCAGAATTTCATCCTGCCTATTTCTTAAATTCCCACGCTTCACTCTGCACATGCCCAGAGGTTCACTGCGAGGCAGCACCAAACACTATAAAGGCCCCCATTTCTCCTGCCTCCCTAGGATGGCTGTCCTTGCCCTGTTTTATTATTATTTCCCCCCCTCCCCGTTGGGTCCAGATCCCTTCCAGATTCGGCGAGGGCTTTTGTCGGCACCAGCTTGACGCCAAACGGCCGCACCTTTTCTGGCCTGTTTTCGTGTTGCTTTTTCCCCCTCCCCGAAATGGCTCGTGTTTTTTTTTATCCCCTGGGTCAGCAAAATCCTTTCTGTGCCAGGCCTGGCCTTTTCCTGGAAGCTGCACAAAGGACCGGGGATGCGGTTGCTAGGGACTCCCCGTTGCCGGGCAACCCACTCCCACTCTAGCTGTGGTTCCTTCCTGGAAGGTAGGCCCAGGTGCATTCTTTCCGCCCTTGCGACCTATCCCATAATTCCTCCCCCTCCCTCCGGCCCATGCCTGGTTTATTTCTTCTTCCCCTAAAACCCCCAGATTTTTACATTTATGATGTGCTTCTGTTGATGGGATGAGAGCTCATTTTGAGGGGGTGGGGGGGGAGACAGGATTTTTGGAATATATTTTAAAAGGAAGCCAAATTAAATCGGGGAGAGTGGGGTGCACCCACCCCAAAAAACCCTCTGTAGGTCATTCAGCTCCCCCCATAGATCGAAAGATGCTATATTTTTATCCCCTCCTTTGGTTAAATCATTGTTTTCGCGATAGGTTTGCTTTTTGAGGTTGGGTCTGTTCAAAATCTGTGTGAACAGATTACAGTATTTTGTTCCAGGCTTTTGACATGCTCCAAGATCTCCTTGTCTCTGCTAAATCCACTCCCCCCACCCCAAGTGTGAATTCTCTGTGCTGTCTCTCTGCAGCTTTTGAGGCATGTTTTAAACCGATTCTGGTGCAAACAAAATTGACTTTTCGAGCATCTGCCGAACATAACATGTTTATTTACTCTGGGTGGTAGAGCTTTGTCACTTAAGGTGGCAGTATATAATAAATATTTGGAATAAAATAAATATGAAATGGAAAATAAACAAGCAGATGCTTTCTCCGCTTTTAAATTAGACCCAGGAGTTGAAGAATAAAGAAACACAGCATTTTGTATTTTACATTATGGAAAAATCCATCGGACACAAAGGGTCTTCACGTGACCCAAAACTTTGCTCATGCTTCTGTAAGTTTTTATTTTATTGTTAAACGTGCCTTAACAAGGTTTATAGCAGTCTTGTAACTCCCAACGTTGCTGCTAACAAGGTATAGTTCTGAATCGCACAGTATTTTATTTACTGGCTGGATTTATGTGCACCAGGGAGGAACAGCCGGGTGTCCCTCTTGGCCTCAGCCGCTCCTGCCCTCGGAGTTTCGCCACCCTGGGTCTGAGCCCCATTAGCCCGGACCTCGTTCCAGGGAGGGCGCTATGCTCTTTCGAGTTTTGGGAGTGCCGTTCCTGGAGCTGTCCAAGATTTCCAGGAATTGTCCAGCTTGCAAACGTCAGTTTCACCTTACCTATCCCAGTGGCGAAGGGCTTCTAAATTGTTTCCCTGCACCGGTCAGCTCTGGCAGCCTTTGCTTCCTGTTCTCGATCTGTAAAAATTTGAACCAAAGCCTGCCGTGGGCCATCCTGGGAATTATAGTTTCTGGTGAGGGTGCCTCCCAAAGAACGACGACTCCCAAGGCCCACCATATCAGCTTTTTTTTTTTGCTTTCATTCAGATCAACAACAGGAAGCAAAGGTTAGAGAAGTCCCATCTTGGCCTTAAATAACTCATGTCTAGAGAAGAGGGACAATGTAGATTTTTGGCTGGTGGGTGGCAATTCTTGGAGGATTCTGGGTATTGTAGTCCAAAAATTAGTTTCTAGTGATGGTTCTGGGTGTGGCGAACAACTGTGTCTTTTACCTTTCTCGTTCTCCTTCCTGCAGGCCAGACTGGACATGGCCGCCTCCAGCAGCAGCAGCTGCAGCCACTGGGCGTGGAAACCGGTGGTGAGCAGTGGCCTCCTGGCCCGTGGCTTCCACTCGTGCAACGTGGTGCAAGGGAAGCTCCTCGTCTTTGGAGGCCTGAGATCGCCGGAGGCCCGAGAGTCGCCTCTCGGGGACGTGGTGGCCTTCGACCCGGCGCGCCAGACTGTCCGCACGCTGGCTCCCGAACGGGGCTGCCGCCGGAGCCACCACGAAGCCGTGGTGCTGGCCGACCGCCTCCTGTGTGTGGTGGGGGGCTGGGATGGCGCTCGCCGTGTCTCGGGGGTCTGCTGCTTTGACGTGGAGCGGGGAGAATGGGAGGAATGGACCACCGCGGGACCCTCCCAGGGGGGCCCCGTGGGGCTGAGCAGCCACACCTGTACCAAGATCACGGACCACGAGGTGCGGGTCGTGGGCCGGGAGGGCGGGCTGCGCACCCAGCGGCGCTACGCCAGCATCTTCACCCTGGGCCTCAACCCTGCTACCAAGACCTACTGGTATGTTTCTAAAGCAGCACCTCCTCACTGGGAGACCAAGGGGGTTATCCTGGATATGGGGGACGGATGAACATTAATTTAGAACCCTCTTGGATGTTGGGGAATTATTTTGCTTCTGATCGCCAGGTACAAAGAGGAGGAATCGCGCACGGCATCGAGGGCCGGCCACTCTGCCGTGCTGCTGCGTGAGGGTGGCTCCGGCAGTAAAGGCAGCGGCTACAAACTCGTGGTGTTCGGTGGGCGCGACTCGGCCGACTTGGACGTGGCCGGTCGATGGGGCAAGGGGAAAATCCACGTGAGTGAGGTGTCTGTGAGGCCAAGTTTCCCCAAGAATTTTTTGGGGGGACAGATTCACATATGCACCAAATGAGCCACGGTGTAGGGCCACAGGCCACGCTGCGTGGCCAATCCTGGGGGATTCTCCTCTCTCTCTCTCTCCAAAGGCTGTTTCTACCACCATCTCCTTCTCTCTCTCTTCAGGTCGATTCTGTCCACGCTGCAGGACTGACAGAGCAACTCTCCCGCTTGGTGAGTGCCGAAAAGGGGTCCGGGGCAGCCCCCAAAGGCCTGAGGCACCAATCCTGCACCGTCGTGGGACCCTTTGTGGTTGTCTTCGGAGGAGAGACGCTGGGGAAAGGCCGGGATGCCGTCTGCAACGACCTTTACATCCATGACACGAGTAAGCTCAGGCAGCCTGGGTGTCCTCGTTACCAAAACCCATCCGGAAACTCTCCTTAGCGATAGTGCAGAGGGAACAAGATCCCAAACTCATTGCAGGGAAATCCTTTTGTTTTGGATGAATACAAACGAATGTATGGGACAGTGACATCAGCTATACGTTGATTCTTGTTCTTCTTTCTCTCCACAAACTTGTGCAGAAACACAGAAGCAATGCGGGCTGACATTCTCCCCCCCCCCAAAAAATGGCTAGGGTGAACTCCTTTGGTACCCGCATTATGATCAGGCAAGGAGTAAAGATCGCCAGGAGTAAAGGGTCGAGGCTCCTCCGAGAATCTAAACGTCTCCTTTCTCTGTTCCTCCAGGAACCTCACCTGCAAAATGGTTCCACTTTCCTTGCCCCGATCGGGCCCAGAAGAGAGTGGGTCACCGGACGTGCCTCTGGAACGATCGGCTCTACCTCCTCGGGGGCTTTGGAGCCGATGGCAAGACCCCCTGTGCGGAGATCTGTAGCCTGGAGATCGACACGTGAAGGGGGGGGAGCCTGTTCCGAGTCTCCAGCCACGTCCATCACCTTGGAGAAGCAAAATTTCCTTCCAAGGAGCTACCAAAGCAAGGGCATGCCTTCAGCCATGACTCTCAGGGCCTCAAAAAAGAAATACCTGGCCCTCACTTAAGAAGCACCTTCCTGTTTAAAGTAGAGATTTAAAATTAGCTTGAATGCATTGGCGGGATTTGTTTCGACACCTGTGGCCCAGTTGTAAAATGTAGCAGATTAAACATGAATTTTCTACTATTAAATCTCATAAATCTGAATCTGAGTGAAAGAGATTTGAAAGAAAAGCGCATGGTCTCTGAGATTAGTGGGGGACGTGGGTCGTGGTCAACATGCACCCACCCACCCCCGGCGCTGTGTGATTTTGCAGTCGCCTGCCCGGAGCCCCTGTTTCACCCAAGACCCGTTTCTTTCTCACAAGGAGAACCACAGTCCAGGAAGCCTCTGTGAAGCACAATTCACTTGAAAAACATGTCATGCCTGCCTGCTTTCATTCTCAAATAAAGAACTCTTTTAAAAACATTCCCCGTTTCAGTGAGAGTGATTTGTGTGTCCCACACTAGCTCCTGGGCAAGGAGACCTGTGTGTGCGCGCGATCATCAATATTTTTCCGGTTCAGAAGCAGGAGCACTTCTTCGGAAGAAATGTCTGCAGAAATCTGCCTTCTGAAAAGGGTTGTTCAACATCTCGGGCCTTTTTTCACTGAATAATAACTAATTAATAAAGCGGCGATTATTCCACAAATATCTATTAATCCCACTGAGTAAAGCAGGGCTTCCCCCCCTCCACCCCCCCAGGGAAGTGTCTTGAGCAGAGGGGTTGGACTTGATGGCTTTCTACGATTCTAGTTTGGGTAATTTAATCCCATAACGTTATAGCATTTCATATCATTTGCTTTGCTTGTGGTGACAAGCTTGGCTCTAAATAAGGCCCTAACTTCTGATGGAATAAACCCTGGTGTTCCTCTTTGGCTCTCCCTGGTTCTGAAGCACGGAGAGAGGCGGGCCCTTCCCAGGTTTGCTACCAAAGAGGTTTTTTTCCCCCAAATGGAGATGCTTCTAGGCCCTTGATTTTGGAAGGCGTCCATGCAAACCGCACCCCCTGTATTTTGAAGACCAAATGCAACTCCGTGCACTGCCGACTTCCATACTAGTCCAAACTGTGTCACAGAGAAAACTTTTACTTAACAAAAAAAATATTAACCAGGGATAACGCCAAAATAAAGATAAGGTTAAGCCTTCAAGGCCTGGAACTGCAACCGTGGAACGAGAGGTTTTAAAGTCCAGCGTGGGGGACGGGGGTGGAGAACGGAAGGCCCCTCCGCTCACTAGGAGACCAAGACCCCGGCCGAACTGGCTTTGGCTCCGGCCGCCTCGGCGTTCTCCTTGGCAGGCGCCTTCTGATCATCCTCGCCCATCAGGCGGATGTTGTGTTTTTCCCGGAATTCGTTCAGCTCCCGACCTTTCGTCTGCAGCTGCTGGCTCAGCGTCTCGATGATCTTGTTGATCTGTGTGTGGGGAGAAATGAGGAGGAAGGATCAGGGATGGCATCGCTGCCTGGGTGGGTGGGGAGTCCAAACCAGGGCTCTAGACTTCCTGGCCCTCGTCTGTGGCGAGAAAAGACCAGCTTCGTGCGTGTGTTACGTGGAAATGACTTATGTCACGATCCCATGTAAAATTCCCCAAAAGAGGCATAGCAAGGGTGCTTATCCGGAAGCGGGCGTCTTCTATGGGAGGCTTCTGAGTGGTGCCTCTTAGCCCTTAAAAATCAAAAGCCACTAAAAAAAAAAACTTTCTGTGACGGGAAAGAGAATTCTTCGTATTTTTCTTTGCCGTCTCCAAGACCCCCAAGAGGAATGGTTTGGAGAAGGACAAACCTCAGAGAGCTGGCGATGGCCAGCCGGAGGCATTTACCTGCTCTTTGTTGTTTTCCAAGGCCGGGAGGACCTCCTTCACCGTCCGCTCCGCCAGCACGCCACCCACCATCCGATAGCACTTCCTGGTCGGGTCCACTTCTCGGAGTGTCTCAATCACTAGTCTGGAGAGAGGAAGGGAAACGGGTGATCGGGAGAGCCGAGCGGGAGAAAGACAGGGGCCACAAGCCAGTCGGTCAGTCTCACGCACCCAGGACCCCCTATCGCTGGCTGGGAAAACACGCCATATTCTGTAAGGGTGTTCCTGCCCCTTTCAATTCATTCACCAATGTGGTCGCCAAATGACTGTTGTCTCTGTGCCATATATTATGAACTGCTGGACAGTTCAGTGGTTTCGTGCGCTCTGAGGTTATAATAATAATATAATCATCTTCGGACTGCAGTGGCTGGGGGTTCGATTCTGCACTGGGCCTCCTCAACAGGGGCTGGACTGGATGATCCATAAGGTCGTTTCCAGCTCTGCAGTTCGAAGATTATTATTACGATTATTTGCTTGTGCTGTTGAAGAACTTGTAGGTGCTTTGAGGAGATCCCCAACAGACTGCCAAGGTCACCAGACAAACAAATAATATCCGGACCGATCGGAGAACTGATCGTAAACCCTGTAGAAGTAGTAGGCCATGCGATCCGTTTCTGCTCAGTTCTCCTCAGCTAAGAGACGCCACTTGGAATCCCGTTGCCAATTTAACCTTGCACGAGGGAAACTGCACACGTCTTGATGGCAACCCAGCTAGCACTGTGTGGATGAGCAAATATACCACGATTTATCCTCTGCAAGCCTAAACAGGCAACAGGATGCTGGCCCACTGCGTTTTATTCTCTCATAAACTAAAATAATTGTATGGTTGTTGTAGGTTTTTCAGGCTCTTTGGCCGTGTTCTGAAGGCTGTTCTTCCTAACGTTTCGCCCGTCTCTGTGGCCGGGGCATCTTCAGAGGATAGCACTCTGAGACTGGCGAAACGTTAGGCGAAACGTTAGGAAGAACAACCTTCAGGCATCTTCAGAGGAAAGCACTCTAAGAGTGGCGAAACGTTAGGCGAAACGTCAGGAAGAACAACCTTCAGAACATGGCCAAAGAGCCCAAAAAACCCACAACAACCATTAGATCCCGGCTGTGAAAGCCTTTGCGAATACATTAAAATAATGGTGCCCTATTTTACCTGCAAGAGACAGAAGGGTGAAATCACAGGATGGCTTTTAAGCAATTTTCTCTCTCTAATCAATTCATTCCATGATTAACAAAAGCAAACACAGAAGAGCACTCGCCCAAAACAGCCGAAATGACCCTTTCGAAAACCCGCCCCGTTACGTACTTGTGTTCGTTCAGCTCCATCTCCAGCTCAGCCGCCTTTGAGGCGAGACCTCGTTGCTCCTGGCGAAGGCGATTAAACCCGGCCACTACCTGGGGGGGGGGAGGAAAATGGGAAAAAATATCAGACCCCCAAGGGTGCGCCTGCGGCGAGATCCCTTTTAAATGGTGACAGCCTGACCCTACTGGGGCCAGGGTTCTGCCAGAGCTGGGAACGGTGAGTGTTTCTGGACTACAACTCCCAAAATCCCCCAACCAAGAGAAGCAGATTGCGGCTTTTGAAAACGTGTGTCCCTCTGAGCGTATACAGAGGGCAATTCTACAGAATCTCCCATAAAAGGGGGCAGACCCTCCACCCTTGCACCGTCTCTTCTCCCCCAGAGCTCAAAGAGTTATTCCCTCTTTTGGACTACAGTTCCCATAATCCCCTTCCCAGGTAGGAGACAGGCGCCGCCAAAATTCTAGGGCGCCTCTGAGCATGTGCAGAGCATACACAGCCAGGTTTCTCTACCCCCTCCCTTTTTTAAATCTTGTCTCGGCCAGAGTAGGAAAAGTTAACGTTTCTGGACTACAACGCCCATCACCCGCCCCGCGCAACCCTCGGCCCAGCAAGGATGATGGGCCTTGTCGTCCATTCTCCCCTCGCCGGACCTGCTCGGCCGTCAAGGCCTTGCCCCCTGCCGCCGCCGCCCCGGCCCCCGCGCCTTTTCCTCAGCCTGATCAGCAGATGTAACTGTTCCAGATTGCGTTGCCATGGCAACAGGCTCCCTCAGTGGCAAGGAGCTTTGCTCTTTCTGGACACAGAACATCGCGGGACGGAAGCGAGCGCCCTTCGCCCCGCCCACGCACTTCCGGGACGCCATTTTGGGCCCGTTTTGCTTCTTTCTCTCCCCTTCTTCACACCAGCCTTAAAAAGTTCCTTTTTTAAAAAAAGTAACAGAAACGCCTTGGAACGGCTCCGTGGGCCGTAGGGGCCTGGAAAAAGTAACTTTTCCGAGCTCCGGTTCCTTTTTTATCTCTTTGGGCGCCGCGCGTCAGCTCCCCTCAGGTTCCCACCCGGCGCCCTTTTTGTTGAGGGCACAACAGGGGCCCCCAAAGGGAAGCGAGGCGTTATTAAGGAGCCCGCGCAGTGAAGGTTTAAAAAAACTAGAAAATATGTGAACAACGTTACTCATAGAGTAACTCGCGAGGCGTTAAACGCAGCGTTCCTCGCGGTGAACGACCTGTTTCCTTTGCCATTCGGCTCCGAAGGCGCCATTGAGCTTGAGGGCGCGGGGCTTCGCCGCCATCTTTGTCCTGGGCAGACGAGCGCCTTGCGCCGCCATCTTAAGTGCCCGCGCACGCCACGCACGTGGGGCAAATAGAGATAGGAAAAAATATAGAGTAGCCCACGGCACTCATATGAGAACACTTCCGGGTTCTTAACACCCAAAGAGGAAGTAGATGCGGCCGTCTCAACATGTGAAAAGGGAGGAGGGGTAAAAAAGAATTTAATTTTTTTCTTTCAAACTCTGAAGGCTAGAGGTGTATAGATCTGAAATTGTTCCGGTCTACAACTCCCAGCATTCCCTAGGTGGCTGTCAGAAGGTAGTCACCTTTGCTGCCCAGGGAATTCTGGGAGCCGTAGTCCAAAGCCAACTTCATCCCCCCCTCTCAAGATGTAAGTCTAACCATAGAGTCGGTTCTCTTCCATCTTTACTGTGGGCGAGGTTGCTTCCAGAAGCGCCATCTTTGTTAAGGGAAAGATGGACTTCCGGGTTGGACTTTTGAGGGGAAGGGAAGTTCTTTGGAGCTGATTCCCCTCCTGCAGTTTCTGTTGCTGCTGCTGCTCATGTAAACTGGGGGGTGGAGGCGGGGTGAGGGAGAGGATTTTTTGTTTGGGGGTGCAGGAGGGCCTAGTGGTGGGAGGGATGCAATGGGAGAAAACCTGCTGAAGGCTTTGGGCTGGAAAAGGTTAACCCGCCCTAGGAAGGAGCGATCAGGGGAAGAAGCCAAAATTAGCTGGGCGCCTTCCAAAACTAGGAAAAGTTACTTTCTTTGGCTTAAAGCATGGATCATCCCATGTTGAGATGTAATAAAACAAACTTTTGCCAAGCTCTGGAATAATAAGCTACTCAGCACCCCTGCTCTGTTCGGGTGGGGGAAAGGATGGAGAGAGAAAATAGTTAGAGAGGAGACAGGGTTGGGGGGGTCAGTGGAACTCCTTGCCACCCTATGCTAAAGAGGGGGAAAGGCCAAACTTTTTTTTCCTGTGACTGAATCTTTGAGGTTTTGAAACCCAGCCTCGCTTTCATGCCTTTAACAGTATCCTGATATTGTTTGGACCAGAGCTGGAGGCACCTAAAGGACTACACCTCCCAGTGTCCCCCTGCAGGACTGGGGGATTCTGGAGGCGGTAGTCCCGATGAGTGCTTTTCAGGCAGGAAGCAGACGTGCTTCGTGCAGACCCAGGCCGGCACGGGCTTACTGCTTTTCTTTGGCCCCCCCGTAGGTGGAGAGCGGTGGTCCGAAAAGTCTGGAAAGGCTTCCGTGGGGTTGAGAAACGGCTTCTCGGGTCCCGAAGCCCAGCTTCCATCCTGAGGTTGGTGGGTTTCGGCTCACAGACATCCCAAGCCCGGAGAAAGCAAGCGGGAATCAAATCCAATCCGAAAGAAACCTGCCCTCTTGTAATGGCAGAAGGGCAGAGCGACGCGTCCCGGGCCCACCCTGGAAGGAAGGAAATGTCCGTCTGGGTGCATGGCGTTTTGTGGGAGAGAGACACAAGCCTCCCCCCCCCCTTTAATTTAATGAAAGCGTCTCCAGGGTAAAAACATAACAGGTTTGTCAGGATTTTAAAAATCATGCCTACCACTTTTTCCTTGTTTGTGGGCAGAACCACAACCACAAAATATGGCAAGAGGCTGAAAAGGGGCGAAGCTGTTAACAGCTTTTGGCTGTGCAGAGTCAGAGGTTGAGAGTTTGAATCCGCCCCCCCCCCGGGCCTCCTTGACAGGGGCTGGACTGGATGATCCTGAGGGTCCCTCCCAGCTCTGCCGTTCTGAGATTATGACGAGGATGAGAGATTTCTGCCTGCCCCATGGACTTAGCTCTCGGTGGATCCTGCACCCAAACTCAAACCTGGCAGATTCTCCCCCCCCCCC